TCACCTTTCTAGTGACAGCACAGAAGCCATCAGCCACGCATTGAACCAGGTTCTTTATTGCAGTTCCCCATGGCAGCCTTTCAGAGAGCACCTGGGGCTTGCTGGCTTGATGGGGAAGCCAGGCTGAGTCCTTTGGAAGCTGATCTCACCCACCTTCCCCTCCCCATCTAGAATTTATTTTCACCCTGTGGTTCCCCAAACCCTGGACCAGCCCTGGTACCTAAAAAAAAAAAAGTGTTTTAAACTGCAATGAAAGAAAATAATTTCATTGAAGATGTAGATCAACAAGATTTTTAATTAAATATGTCAATGGCAAATTAAACATTGGTAATAATCATATTTAGAATCTAAAGTTGTTAGGCTGCATATTGAGCTCAGTGGTCAAAGCACCTGCCTGACAAGCACAAGGTCAGGAGTTCAAACTCTGATACCAAAGAAAAATCTACAGTTGTCAACCCTGTAGTTCTACGAGCACAACTATTGAAATTGATAGTTGTTCATTAAAAAGCTCAATGTTTCTTCTGTTGTCTATAAAGTACCTACAAATAACATGGTAACTACAGTGAATAATACACTGTGCACTATACCATTGCTACTTGCTAAGAGCTGCTCTTATTTTTCCCCACATTGTTGAAAGATGAAAATGACTGGTGATGATAGAGAAACTGTGATAATAATTTTTTGAATTTTATTGGATATTTCACTACATCCACGAAGTACATTTTATTTGCTACAATTATGCTAAGTGAAATACATAAGTAATTCTTAATGTTACAGGCAGCTGTGTTAGTCACAAATATAGGCAGTCTGATAGTTATATAATGGAATGAAACTCCTGACCTACTATGTCTGGTAGGTGGTTGTGTTCTATAAAATAGAAGAATGAATTTTAGGAACAAAGCAGGTAAAGAGCAGAATATACTACTGAGAGAAAAAAGTGAAAGGTTTTTGCTCTAGATAGGATATTACCACATTGGAAAGCAGGCCAGGGGCCATTTACCTGAGGTCACTTACCTCTCCCTTAGGCAACTTACCTGTGGAAGGAAAAGAGTCCCAATCAGCTACTGGCACATCAGCAATGACACCTTTAAGCACCACCACAGTCAAAAAGTAGATATAAGCCCCCTCACCATGTATCCAGCAAAAAAAGGCAGACATCTAGTGGTCATGTGATCCACCTTCTTAGAATAAAGGCCATTTTTACTTTACATTCTCTCCTTTACCACAGTGAAAACCCTATCAGAAAGCTTCTGTCTGAGAGAGCAGGAAGGGTCATAAGTGGGTTGTATCTTCTAAGGACTTTATAGAATAAAATCATGGGGTGAGATGGGTTTAAGGTGGGGGAAATTGGGAACTCACAAGGCAGATGGGCATAACTTTGGACAGAGCTATGTTTAGCCAATATAATTAATAATTCAGGCAAAATCATGTACACTGCAGACAAATGGGGATGTGAGGTCATAGAAATCAGGCATTTTACAGAGCAGTAACTCTCCTCTATGGGATTGAGAGGATAACTCCTGACTTCAGCAGGGAAATATTTAGAAAATCAATTCTTAGAACATGGATGCATTTGCTTGGTATTTTCTCTTGAGGCCTGTCCCATAACAGGAGGTATCTGTCTTCACATAGCTGCAAGGTATGTGGGCTTCTGAGCTGGCTACATCTAGGACCTGATCCTGTCTCCCTTGCTATATATTTCTAATTAACTCAGCTGCCTGTAACAAGGCTTGCCCCTCAAAGGAGCCAGAAAATAAGTTCAGATTACTTGCAGGATTGGAAGAGATAATCACCTCCTGCTGTGGGCCAAATCTCAAAAGAAAAGGTAAATTAAATACAACCAAGTGCTAAGGAGCAACAGTCCAAATACTTCTCTGATCACCCTGAGGAAACAAGAGTCACCATCCCAACCCTCTACAAGAAGAGTCTCTGCTCTTAAACCTGCCCACTTACTATGACTTGCCCTCCCATTTGCTCCCAATTTAATCAATTTTACCTGAGCAATTAACCTTATTGGTTGACCACATTTCTACCCCGCATTATGGTTAACTTTCAGATTCCCATTTTTCCCCTCCCCTGGACCCATCTAACCCCATGATTTAACTCTATACAAGTTTCTCAAAAAGACAGAGTCTTTAGCAACCCACTCAGACCTTTCCTGTCTCTCAGACAGAAGCTTTCCTTCTCCCAATAAATATATTCCACTCTTCAACTTCATCATTCCTAAAATTCATTCTTCAGTTTTAGAGAACACAAACTCATACCGGATATATAGTAGGTAAGGAGTTTCATTCCCCTATACCATTAACATGAGCCAAATTAACATGACTATACTTTTATAATGTCTGAAATTTGTCCTTTTCCTGCAGTTTCAAGTGATTAATACAATTCACAGTGATTATAGTCCTGGCAATATCTAAAATTGTATACAACAGTCATTATAAGTGTAAAATAATTGCTTTGATTGTATTATTTAGCAAGACATAGACTTTGCCATGGCACTAGTTTATATCTTACAAAAGAGAAGGTTCACCTATAATTGTTCAGAAAAATTTCTACATTATTGGCTAATTGAACAATTTTTAATTATATAAACTGTGTATTTTTTCAGTTTCTAGAAGGCTCCTATTATATTATTGAAAGCTGTCTGTAGGCCTCTAGGACCTTGGCTATATATATTTTGATGAATAATTCTGTTTTGAAACTTGTATGAAGATTTATTTTTATCTTGGGATTAAATTCACTGCATTGACACTGATAGAGTGAAGCAAAAGCCCACTGCATTAATTTCCATTGGATACTCATGGCATTGAGCATGTGAATTGCTGACGAGGTAAATTAGCTTCATACATAGACAAGAATCAGTAGTTAGGATTTTGTGGCCCAGTAGAGAAGCACAATGATAGGATTATTTACAAAAGATGAAAAATATTTCCAAAAGATGAGAAGTATAAAACAAAAAGAGGCTTTTATTCTGAGAACATGGAGAGAGATGTCTGGCCCCCACCCACTGCTGGAGTCCAGTGATCTCTCTGGCTGATACGTGGGATGGGGGGTGTAAGTAGCCTCCGTTTGGGGTGGAACCTAAGGAGGGCATTAGTGATGCACAGGTAGCCCATTGGTCATAGGTTTGGCACCATAGGTAAATTTCCAATGGCGGGAAGATGGCATCACAGGTAAATTCCTTGGGGTGGGAGAGATAGGGGCTTCCTGCTTTCCGTTGAGGCTTGCTTGGCAACAGAGTCTTGTCTGGGCCAAAACCGTTTCACAGACTATAAGAAAAAGTAGCAGTGTCCTTTCTATTTAAAGAATGTGGAGAGGAGCCTAAAGCCACCAAGGGTTTGCCTTTTTTCTGACGGATTATGGGATTAAACGGTATATCTGAAATTTGGTGGTGCTGGCACTGACATTGACATCATGTAAGGAGCTGATTGGAATTTTCTTTTGGCCCCTGGGAAAGGAATGAGGAAGTTGTATTCAGGGAAAAAATGAGAAAGTAGCCATATGGGTAAGCACCCCTGATTTGACCTTTCACACTGATGAACTACCACCATGATGTCCTGTAATTTATTCTAGGGCAAAACTCTTTAAAGTACATCCTTCAGTTTAAATTAAGAAATGAAAATAAAGAATTTTTGCTATGTGTCTTCTCTCATGGTTAGTGGTAAACAATTCATAAGGAAAATTTCCAGTCATTTCCTTAATGCACTGTAGATAGCATAAACAAAACTACAGATCGGTTCACTTTCAGAAAACAGAAGCAGAACTAAAAGGCAGGGATAAAGCCTTTCAATGTAAATGTAGGTGAGATCAACATTTAAGAATACAATCATTTACTGATTTCTCTGACTTCAAGAAAGAGAAAAATTTACACTGTTATTGCTATAGGGTAATGAAACTCCAGGTCTACTCTGTCTGGTATGAGTTTGTGTTCTCTGAAGTCAAAAAATGAATTTTAGAAAAAACAGAAGTCAAGATAATATAATTATTGGAAGAAAGAAAGCTGTGTGAGAGAGAGCAAATGTGTCCTGACTGGGTGGGCAAAGACTGTATTTTCCAAGGACTTTTATAAAGTAAAATCATGTGGTGAGGTGGTTTAAAGGGTGGGAAAACTGGGAACTCACAATGCAGATGGGCATAAGATGGGACAGAGCTATGGTAGCCAATAAGATAAATAGTTCAGGTAAAGTTGATTAAATTGGGAACAAAAGGCGAAGGGAGTCACATAGAAACGAGGCATTGTTAGGCAGCAGTGAATCTTCCCTTAGGGGTTTTGGAGGGTGACTACTGAGGTCATTAGGATGATAGGAACTATTTAAAATGTCAGTTTTTATAAGGATACATTTCTTTGAATGGTGACTCCTGACTTACTCAGAGTGCAAGGGAACTATTTAGAATATCAGTCCTTAGGATATGGATGAATTTGTTGATCTTCTGCCTTGAGGCTTAGCCATTAGCAGGAGTTGTCCATCTTCTCCATAGTTGCAAGGTATCTGGGTTTCTGGATGGGCTCCTCAGAGGACCCAGCCCTGTCTCATTGCTAATCATAATTAACTAACTCAGCTCCACATAACAGTACTTTTAGGAAAATTGAATACAGATGTCTTGTGCTCTGAGTGAATGATCCGGGATGACAGTGTGCAACGTATATACCAGTGTTGCCCCACAATTCATATGTTTTGAAACTTAGTTTTAATTTATTTTTTCTTTTTATCCTTGAAATGTATTGGATTTGGAAATGAAAAGCCTGAGGTAAGGCACTTTGGTACACATATTCCTCTGTGTAGTTGAGATCAACACTGTTGAAGACAACCAGCTTTAGAAGTCTCTGACTACTGTCTATCATTTGGGATCCTCTCTTGCAGGAAATAGTTCCTTTCCCTGTTTATTTTTGACTCAGAAAGAAGACAGGTGAGCAGCAGTCAATCAGTGATGAAGAGGCGGGCTATATGAAATGTCCTATCAGGCGAGCTGTGGCAGGAAGTCTCTTGGGTCTCTTCCGGTGTGTAGACATTGTTTACCTGTTTGGACTACAAAACTGGGAGCAGAATGCTTGCTGGATCTCATTTACTGGTTTTGAAGTCCTGTGGCCTGATTAGCAAAGAATCTGGGAGACCCTCTAGCCACGGAATGGTGAGGCTTTGGATGGGAGCCCAGAAATAGGGTGGAATTGGGAGAAACCAGTTACAAGTGTTTAGAAGCAGTTCTGATGTGTGTAGACTCAGGTATTTAGTTAGCTTCAGCTCCTGAGCTCTTCTAGCATTGGCCTTGGGTTGTCCACTTTCCCTTTTTCTCCTACTGGGAACAAGGATGATTCTGTGTCCCCAGAACCCTGAATTAACTATGACAGCACCAGACTGGAGTATCACCTTTGAAATTTTCTACTGTCCTGGCACCTCCATCATAAGGAGCAGAGAAAGCAGCTTGGGAAGCCCCTGACTCTGATGAATTTTGTAGCTGGAGCAGCAGTACTGAGCTTGGTCTCCGCTCTCATTCCAGGGATCAGCAATCTTGATGTTCTAAAGTTTATAAATGTATGTAATGCAGGGCCTCGTATCCACAGTGGCACTCCTTAAACCTGTACTGTTTTGTATTTATAGGGATTGCCTAAATTTATGGTATGTTCTCGCATTTCCAACCTCTTGACAGGTGTTGGCAAAATCAAGAGTATTCAGAGATGTGTAGTGATGTGCTTCAGTGGAGGAAGGCTTTCCAAACATCTGGTGAACTCCTGTGTATTATAAATAACAGTGCAAAGAATTTCTGAACATACTTCATGTGACACATGTGCTCATAGACGATGTTTGTGAGAACAGCCATAGAGGTTTGAATTTTGAGAAAACAAAGCAGATATAAAAGTGTCGTCAAGGGCAGGGTAAAGTGTGCTTGCTAAGGACAAATTTCAGAAAGGGCTGCCTGTTAAATTCTCACTGAAAAATGCCTAAATGTAGTCATTTGCATGAACATATAAATACATGATATCCTTCTGAATGGAAAGGAATATGGGTGTTATCTCTAAATTAAGAGCTAATTTAATAGCTTGGTTGATCATATACATTGTTTAAATATGGAAATGCTCTGTAATGGACTTTACTAATTCCTGTAAAGGAGATGCCCTAAATTGAAATTGTGCAGGCATATCAATAGTTTAGGCATGAAGGGTTTTCTGCTTAGGATGGATCAGACGAGCATGGAAATGATGTGGAAGTGAACAGCAGGACACAGTGTGCAAATAGCAGGACATACAACAGAGAGGGTCTTCACTGAAAGTAGTTCTTAGGGTATGCATGCAGTTAAAGTTGAATTATGATATCTTCCTTGAGACAAATAACACCAGCTCTGCTAACAATCAGTATTCCACATCCCTGTCAACCCATGAATTCTGTGTTCTTCACTTGAGATCTAGTTTTGATTATCTCAAATTATGACCCAGTATCATGAAGATGAAATTTCAATTTTTTTTTGTACCAAGGATGGAACTCATGATCTCAAGCTTGCAAGTTAGGTTTTCATGCTGCTAGCTAAATACCCAGCTCTGAAAGTGTTTTCTGTATATTATGGATGATATCAACCTTGTTCCTCAGAAAATGTTGAACATTGTGGAATTTTTCTATATTGTATGGCTAAAATTTTAAAGCAAACCAAAGGTGTCTTATGCAGTCACTTTTCAAGTTTCACATAGTCTGTGGGGTGTCTCAGTCAGGGTTTCTCTATTTCAGACAGCTCTGTAACTTAGGCTAGCCCCAAACTCAAGGAAGTTCTCCTGCATCAGCCTCCCAAGTTATATTTCTTCTCTCTGAGTGGAAAGTGATCACTTGTTGACACTGAGCTATAATTTGAAGCTTGCACTTGGTTTCATTGTTTATATGTTTTTTTATATATAGCAGTTTTCTGTGAACATTTGAGTTATTATTTATGTACCATATTTGATGTTATTTATGTTTTGTTCTATAAAACCAAATTCAAATATCAAAATGCTGCTTAAGTATATTAAGAACAAAGGACTTATTGGCCTAACTGAGATTTGAAGACATATCATTGGTAGTACATCAGAGTGATTGATGAGATATTTGTCTGCCTCTGTGCTTTATGGATGCTGGGCCTATAGGTTCTCACTATAAGCTCTGCATTAGAGACAGTGCACAGGGACTCTTGCAGTGACTCAACATAAGAATCAGTGCTCCTATTTGGCTGTTACATTAGCTGTGAGTTACAATATAGTATCAAATTTGCTGTCTCAAAAAATGTGTATATAAAAAAATTAATACCCAAAACATGGAATTAAGATTTGAAGAAATCAGTCTCCATTCAGCTGTTTTGTTTGGTTTTATTTGTTTAGTTTAGTTTTATTTTATTGAGACAGGTTTTCTCTATGTATGTCAGCTAGATTTGAACCCCTTATGGAGTGCAGAATTGCCCTAACCTCAAAGCAGCACTCCTGTGTCAGGCTCTTGAGTGCTGGGGTTATAGATATGTGTGTTTTTACCCTAGAAAATATTGAGGCTTGTAACTTAGCTGTGTTGTAGCTTGTCATAATAGATGGCATCTTGAGCTTTGCGTTTAACTAGTGCCCTGTATTTCACCCTGAAAAATGGAAAATCACTCAGGGTAGAAGTCCCAGGAGAAAAGCAAACTGAGCTATACCCAAAGAAAAAAACTGACCTGCTCAACAGAAGAAGCAGAATACAGTTGTCATCCAAAAATTATTATAAGATTCTAGCTAAATGATTTCCAACAGGATCTTTTTGTGATTCTATCTTGTAAAACATCTGTAACTTTCCAGTTCAAAGCCTCTTGTTTAGATCTTGAAATGGGTGTGGGGGTTCTGTGTACAAGTAGTCCTGACCATCTAATGAAATTCCACATTTCTCAATTGGGTTGCTTGGATTCTTGTATTGTTGTTCACAAACTCAACTCAAGCTTCAGAAACCTTTACTGACACAAGCAAACACCAGGATTAAATGACAGTGCCACTGAAATGAAAGAATAGTAGTTTAAAGGAGAGGAGAAAAAGACAAATGCCATGTGCTATAATGCCCACCTCTTTTCCCCAGCAATGAAGAGGCTGAAACAGGAGAATGGCCAGGTATTCAAAGACAGCCTAACCTACATAGTGAGGGCAAGGCTGGCCAGAACTCCAAAGTGAGACTATGTCTTTAAAGCAAAAAACTAAAATGAAAATAATAAACAACCAAGGTGATAGAAAGACTGTTTAAAAAAAATCAGTAATAGAGCTGAGTGAAAGTTGACTTATGCAAAATGGGAATTACTGAATGATGATGCAGAAGAAGGAAGGCCATGTAGTGGCATGCAGGAGGCAGTGACAAACACAGATTTAGGAATGACACCTATAGTGCTACAGCACAACAGTGACCTCCTTCCTCCAATATATTTGCAGCTCACTAAATGGAGGACTTATAAAAGCTCATGAAAATGTTAAGATCAAGGCAAACAAGCAGCTTGAAATCCAGGCTTTGGAACATGGCCTTTAACAGACATTTCATATTTAGATTGAAATAAGAGAAATATAATCCTGCCCTGTTTGATGGCAAATGCACCAAATTTAATGGCTCACAACCTTGAGAAATGAAGAAGTTACAAACCAAAAGAAGATCAAAAATTTTCTTAGAAAAAAAGAGAGAAGAATAGCCCTGGATTTTCAGGAGTGGTCTTCAGTGTTTTGGCCAAAGACCTATTGTCAGGGGTCATTTATACAGGAAAGTCACAATGTGGGTACAGTGTGTGTCTCAGACTACAATCAACCTATAAGCTTATAGCTGCTTAACTAATATTATTCATCAGGGGAACAAGTCAGCCAGAAAAGTTATGTGGAAAGAGCAAAGACATTTTGTGGGAACAATAGTCCAGTTGTTCTGCTCATTGAATATGGTAATTGATGCCTATCAGGACTTCCTGGAGGAGGTGGTGGTAACTGTAGTACATTTCAAGCTGTTGTTTTTCTCTGCAGGAGCATGTAGAACTGGTCACTGCATCTTCATCTTCAGTTCTGGCTTTCTTCAGCTGGGCCTGTAGCAGTGATTGTTGTATTTAGTTTTTTGCATTGACTCTTGAAGGTTCCAGTTCTTCTATGATTGTATATCAATTTCTCTCTACATTGACATCCTGTGCTAAAATCACAATAGTATTTGAATAAATGAACTGATGTTTATACATTTAAAAATATTCATTAATACAGGCCTGGGATTTAGCTCAGCAGGCAGAAATGCCTGCCTGGAAAGTGCTAGGTTGTAACTTTGATCCTTGGTACCTAAAAAAAAAAAAGTAATTTAAACTGCAAGGAAAGAAAATAATTTCATTCGTGAAAATGTAGGTTTACAAAATTTATAACTAAATATGTCAGTGGCAAATTAAACATTGTTAATAGTCATATTTAGTATCTAAAGTAGTTGGGGCTGGGGATTGAGCTCAGTGATACAAGGAGCTGCCTGGAGAGCACAAGGTGATGAGTTCAATCCCTCATGCAAAAAAAATTCACAGTTGTCAGTGATGCAGTGCTATGAGCACATTTATTGAAACTTATGCTTTTTAATTAAGAGGCTCAATGTTTCTTTTTTGGTTTATGAAATACCTGCAGATAACATGGCAATTACAGTGAATGATGTACTGTCCCCTATAGGATTGCTATTTTCTGAGTTGTTTTTAGTTTTTGTTTTCCCACATATTTGAAAGTTGAAAATGTTGGCTGATGCTAGCTAGAAAAACTGTGATAAACATTTTTTCAATTTAATGATATACTTCTCTATATCCATTAAGAACATTTATTTGCTACAATTACTCCAAGTCAAATTGATAAACAATTCTTAAAGTTACAGGCAGCTGAGTTAATTAGAAATACAGGCAGCCATACCATGATAAAGTGGAATGAAATTCCTGACCTTCTATGTGTGGTATGAGTTTGTGTTCTCTAAAGTGTAAGAATGAATTTTAGGAACAACAGAGTTGAAGAGCAGAATATATTTATTGAGAGAGAGAAAGTGAATGTATTTTGCTCTAAATAGGGTATTTTGGGAGTGGGAGGTGGAACCAGGGGACTTTTACCTTGAAGTCACTTTCCTTTTCCCTATTCAACTTACCTGTGGCCAGAAAAGAATCTCAATCAGCTACTTGTATAT